TGTTGGGGGAAAAGTGCAGAGAGGGCGAGGAGAGAGAGAGAGAGAGAGAGAGAGAGACAGTGGAGCCAGGGATCTACATACAGCTCAGTGTGCCTATTTCCCTGCATTCCTTTTTAGCATTTATGCATAAAGTACCCTTGCATATTTATGCAAAGTACCCTCTAAATCTAATCAATTGTTTTTGTCTTTGGTTACTAAATGAAGACTGAAGGAACAGCTTTAAGTGCAACTAATCCAGAGGCTATGCTTGCTTGGCCTCAATTCCCCCCAAGTAAAGTTTCAGATGCAGCACAAAACAGCAGCATACTCAGACTATTGACTGGTGGATTGAGAGTTAAGATCTAACTTGTACTCCCGTGGTTATGATTTTCAGGTGAAAAGGCTGTTTCCTACTTTTCTTTCCTATCTATACATTAAAATTTCTGGTTTGTGTGTGTATGTGTTTGTATACAGGTGTTCCTTATCCAAAGCCTTTGGAAGGGAGATGAATTTTGATATTCACATTTTTTTAAATTAAAAAAGTGATATGGTAGCTATACCATATCTATAATACCCCCCAGTGGGATCTGGGAGGCACCCTTTAATAAAACTCATTCACATTACTGCAGTTAACAGTCACAATGAGAAAAATAAATAAAGACTGGAAATTATTACGTGCGCATCAGTTTAGGTCAGGTTTTGTCATCAAATGAGTCTGTCTGAAAATAACAGTTCTCAAAACTTTTTGAATTTCAGAATTGTGATTAAGAGATTGTAGGTGTGGACAGAAACCACATATGAAAAGTTGACTGTAAATATATGTATAGACGCAGATACGAAATAAAGATGATTTGAAACCTAAGAGTAACCTTGACTGAGATCCAGTGAAATGAGAACTGAAATTATTTTCCCTAAGTCTTCCTACGGCTAAACCTATTGCTGTGTTCTCGGGAAGGATCTCACGGCCAGTCAACGTTGACAGTGACCACTTGGGGGAAACAGGTATGGAAAGAACAGGGAGAGGTACGTCAACTTTTCATGCTCACACTGATGGACAGAAATACTTGGGGATGAGCGCGACAGTGGACTTGAATTCAAAGAGGGCACCATGAGAACTCAGACAGGGGTGGGGGTGAAGGACTTCAACATCTTTATGAGAAAGAATTGCTTTCTCAGAGCAGTTGCACAGCTGGAAACAGGGAAGAGCCAGCATTGGTGGGAGGGAAACCCGTTAGCTGTTCAGCTAGTTGAATTCCCACTTCTGCTACATTTATTTTCATATGTCGCTAGTTTATTTTTCAAGTGTATATTAAAGTGGCTATGAGGGATGCTAGCCCACGTAATGCTTGATTCCGCCTAGGAGACAAAGGACGAATGTGCAATTTCCACATTCGTCATTCCCCGACTGCATTAGAATGATTTCCCGTGCACCATTTGCTTTCATATTTTAATAAGTTGCTTTTAAAAAGAATGCTAGTGGTTACAACAAAGATAATAGGTGATACTAAAAATCATTAACATTTAATATATTAAACCACCTACTCCATAGTCCGTAAATATGAAAAGTGTACTCTGTGATTTCACCCCGAATGTAATAAAACTTCTCAAAGGACCTACGTTTGTGAACAGCTGCAAAGTGAACTGCCCAACCTTTTCAAAGATCAGATTTTGCCACTGCGCTCATCGGGGTGAGCAGTCTGTACTGAGTGGGGCGAAGCCTCATTTTAATCCTAATCCCATTTAGTAGGTCTTCACGTCACGGGCCAGACGGAGGGCAAAGAAGCTGCCTTAGCAAGTCAATGACCCTAGTGGGGAAATCCAGGGCTAGAGAAGGGGATCAAAGAGCAGGCCAGTGGGAGAGAAGTTTGGGAGGTCTTTAAGATGCCTTCTACAGACAGCATTGGCCCTAGTGTGGAAGCTTGAGAGCACTAGGGGGAAAAGATGGGATTTCTTTGCGTGTTTTTTTTTTTTTATGGTAAAATTTAAGTTCTTAAATGTTCCATTGCCATATACGTAAACCAAAATTAAAATTAATTGCTTACTTATATTTACATAATATGCACCAAAGTATTATTACGATGGCTTTGACTGTCAAACTTTTCTATATTTAATTTCAAATATTCCCATTTTTGAAAGACGTTTTCTACCTGTGAAATAATTATGTGATTCCACACAGTTTGTGGAGTTCCCTCCCCATATAAATTCTGCAGTTGTCTTCTTGGCTTGGTTAAGGTTGCATAAACGCCAGTGCTTTTAGCTGGGACAGAGATTGGATTCTTGTTGGAAGTATGGGCCAGCTCCACGGAATCCTATTTCTGTCTGTGATTCTATCACTTCAAGAATGGGAGTAATCGTGTAAAAGATGGGTTTTAAGAGGTGGTTCAGGCACCTTAATCTCTAGACATGACAGTCTCTCTACGCTTACACTGACCAGGCCTCTTGTGCAGCCAAGGGCTCAATATGTATGTGACACCGTTAGATAGACAGTCCAGCAGCCACATGAAAGAACTGGGACTACTTTGCCTAGAGGAGACTCTGGGGCAGGGAGGGGGGCGGTTCATGTGACGACAGTCTTCCAAAACCGGAAGCTCTGTCCTATGGGCAAGGGAGTGGGCTATTTCTGAGAGTCTCCCAAGGTGAAACTAGGACCAATGAATTAGAGATCTAGCCAGGATCTCTCTCACATCAACATCAGAAAAGACTTACAAATCTACAGCTGGCCGCACAAAGAAGCCGCCGCTTTGTAGGCCAGGGAGCTTGATACCCTTAGGTGACCAGATAGCCGGCAATAAGGATTCCTATTATTGATCCACAGAGGAGTTGGATGGTCTTTAAGGTGTCTTCCAGCTCACAGACTATGATCCTCATGAAATGAAAGTGCACAGGGGATTTTAAGGGAGATGGTTTGGACCTTAGAGAAAATGTGTGAGGAGACCTCTGCCCAATCCAATCTGCTCCTTAAGGCAGGTCTGAAATGACCTACTCTTGGCAGCACAGTCACAGAGCTCTTGTATGAACCTCAGAGGATTACAGCTGCCTTTCTGTACGGCTACTTGATAAATCAGAGTTTTCACTAATTCAGATTAACGGTCTCCGGAAAACCAAACATCTGCACCAGTGCTATCTGACTCGAATCCTAATTTAACTGTAAATTCCTCTCTCAGGAGATAAACAGGGATGATGAATTGGCCATTCTGCTCAATCATCAAGCTGTGTGGGCATCAGAAAGGAAAGGTTCCAGAAGGGGTGATGACTTTGTAGTGGGAAACATATATGGGAAGGCTTCGACAAGCAAGTCCACAGGGTATTGATCTTGGCAGCATATTTCACAA